ATTAACGCCCCAGCTCTCAAAGGATAACGGATATAAAGAATACTAATGAGAATATATTAAACATAATTTGAGGACATATAAATAAAATAAAACTGAGTGTTATTCTCGAATATTTGGACTTTTATTGTTATGTTTACACGACAAAGCACAAGCGCATAGACTTAATATACTGATGCGCTTTATATCCATTAATGTCATTTTTGGCGGGAAATTAATTGAGTTTCCTTCTTTTTTAATCTGAAACCATAAAGAATTACGATAAAGATTTACTTCTGCATATAATAAGTGTAATTTGTCAAAAGCTACAAAGTTCAAGGACCTCATTTTTTTGGCTTAACTACTTTCACTAAGAAGTCATATTGTAGCAACCTATACCTTACTTCTATACTGTAGCATCAAAATGAAATTATAAGAACTATTTTACACTTGTACAAATCTCACTTATTAAGTTGCAAGCTTATGTAGATGCACATTGTAGCTATCCCCGTGTCGATTGAACTCAGCAGGGGAAGTAATAATAAGTAATAGCAATCAGCATCAATCTAGTCCAGGAAACCTTATCGCTGGCTGAGTGATTGTCTGGCTCGCAACAGGGCCCATTGTGCCTAAGCGGAACAAAAGTAGCCCCGTACTGTTTCATTATTTAACTCGTCGCGTCGCTTGGCTTCACCCGATACTTAATTTGAAACACTCTAGTCTCATGTCGTTAACTAATCAGTCTTTGTATTTATCAATCGATGTTCATAAAGATGGTTAAGAACTTTGCAACAGACTTTAAATGAGAATGCATACTATATGTATGTACAATATTATAAAGCGGAAGAATTTGTTTGTTTAAACGCGCTAAACTCAGGACATTGATTCGCACAATTGTGTTATGGTTATGTAAGTACGTAAAATCAGTTATAAAACTAATCTAAACTCTTATGCGGTAAAAATTTACTTATTGTAAATACCCAGCTTTGAACCGAATGTTGACTCACATAACATTATCACGGAGTGTACATGTTTAAAATTACTAGAAACTTATCTCTGCAGCTATCACAATGAAGGTGCCAAAATAGCATAATTTAATATCAGAACCAAGGCTTATCTACACGAATAAGTTTGATGTAGCACATCAGTTCGAGGAAGTGTCATGACCACACAATTCGTTCTGTTGTGTGTGGTCGACACATCATTTAATGAACTTGGTGCCAATTCTAAATTAATTACTGCTATTATCTTATTAATATTATAAATGCAAATGTTTGGAAGGATGGTTGTAGGTTTGTTAAAATGTATGTTCAGAACGAAGAACATAGGCTGGAAGATAAACAGGCTACTATTTAAGTAGTTTTTTTCAAGCTATAGCTATTTATATTATAGATATTTTTTTAAATAAAATATTAGCAGATTTTTTGTAAATTTACTAATATTTCTTTCACCATTCCAACTAAGCTGTATGCTTGTGCTAGGATATGGTTTACGACAATAGTCGAATGGCGAGATACGAACCACCGACCTCGTGATCGGAAATCCGTATCCTTAACCATTAGGCTATATACGCTTAAGTAAATAATACATTATTATTGTTTTATTTATACGATCATCATGTCAATTAGTGCTGGGAACAGGACCAAAGATATGAGCGCTAAGGTCTTAAAATATTTAAAAAAACGTGAAGTCAAAAATTAATTTATTTCGGATGCAAATTGGAAAGTGTCAATTTAATTAACCTAAATTTAATAATTTTAAAATAATTTAAAATATTAAACCGGTTCGATATCAACCGATCAAGGATCAATAAACTCGTTCCATCAATAATTTGATGATGTGTTTTATAACGATCTTTAATGGATTTTATAATCAAAGTCTCAAAAAAAAAAAAAAGAAAATTACATCGCAGCGATTTGCAGTTCTGTTCCGAATAGCAGCTTAAATAACTTAGCTGGAATAATTACCGGGTAAAGATCGAATTTCTTTTTAATATCTTTCTCCTTAACGGCTGGAACCATCAACGGAAATACAGTTTAGGAATACGCTTTTTACATATAATTATTGAAGAGGAAGATTAATTATACATGCCTTATTTAAAAAATTACCTCTTCATAAATATAGTATAAGGGATTATCTTCGCCCTGATGTTGCCAGCTATGACGTGTATAATTCGCCAATTTTTACAAATCACGTGGAGCGAAGTTATAGCGTAATTATTCTACCTTTTAAATATATAATTGCTAAACCATGGCGTGCTTATAAATCACGTAATGGGGATTACTATTAAAGTATTTATGCATTGGAATGGTTTCCACGGTTATTTCTTCATAGAAAGTTATGTAATACTTATTGCATTTAACTATATATTACGTTGTGCGTAGATTCAATCTATGGTTGTTTATCAAACCTTTATTGCATATGTTTAGAACTCTAGTATTAGAAATAAGATCACAAAATGACCTAAAAAGAGATGTCGTCTTCATTTCCGGTGTATCCAAAATGCTTCGGTATTGCAGAATAACCAATGGATACGGTTGCTCTATTGACTTTGTTTATAAAAACAGATGTTAGAATCAATTCACAGACTTGGATTCTTGAGTATTATAGTGACCATACCTTTCTTGCAGATAGTTATGTTGCTTTATTATAAAAACAGTGAATTAAGTGAGTACAGTATTAAATTATTCAAACTTTCGTGAGACATTATACTAAACTGATATATAAACACGGCTAAACAGTCGGTGCCGCCACCGGACGTATATACGTGAGTGTTTAGCCGTGTTTATATATCAGAGTACAGTATTGTTTAAAGTCAAAGTATTGCAGTAGTATCAGCGTTAGATTATAGGGGTAAAAGTTGCGATGGAATTATTTATCTTTAAAAAGGTCAATTTTGTCGCTTGATGAGGTACAGAATTCCCGAAGTTGCATTCGGAAATACCGTTGAAGATATTTGATATCAGTTATAGTTGTGGGAAATAGGAAATACCGAGGCCACTTCTAGAATACTAATATTCAAATATTCATGCAATATATACGCTGCAGTGATGACTGTAGACCGGATTGTCTTAGTGTCATATCAATGGAAATACCATTTACGAGTGACTTATAATAAAATCCCAATGTGAAACTTACAGAAAAAGTAAAGGAAAATTAAAGCTAAGTCCTTTTCCTGTGCCTCATCAGCGTCAAAAGAGAAAATTTCACAGTGTATTTTCTGTATATATTTGTAACTGACAGTCGACCGCGACTTCATCAGTAAGTAATATAAGTAGCCTATAGTATACCCGTTTACACCAGCTACCTTCCAGTTAAAGTCCCGATAAAATGAGTCTAGCCGTTCCGGAGATTAACCGGAACAAACGCGGCCTTGTGGGACAGACAGACAGACGCAATTTTTTTATTGGTTTTCGTTATCAGCAACTCAAATACATCATGTGTAAGAAACGTTTTTCCAATATTACACAGACATTCTTATTTTATTAATATGTATAGAAAGATTACCCGTGATGCTTTTAGTGTGGGTAATAAAACTTTACTATAGCCAGGGATAGACCGAGGTGGAAAAAGTTGCTGGACCAAGCCAAGGCCCACAAAGGGCTGTAGAGCTAGCAGAAGAAGAAGAAGAATAAAACTTTACTAAGCCACTGCATCTTAGCTTATAATTCAATCCTACTAAAATCTGTATACCAAATAAATTAACGTATTAATTAGTATTCAAATTAATTACAAAACAAATTTGATGGACCTTTTTAAAAAAAATGTAAATAGCACTCGGCAGGGCTGCTACCGCGCGAGAAATAGATTTTACGAGTGCGTGCGGCGCGATATTTACGCGTGTTTACACTTCGGAGGATTTTATAGGCGCAACGACACCGTCACTGGTCGACAACCAGTACACCAAGGGACACTTTTAACACCCGACTTGCACAACTACTGGACAAGGAAGTAAACGAGCCAGTGGTTTACGAGATGTTAAGTGACATCTACCGTCCGCAAATCAAAAAAACATAAACACCCTGAAGCTGATATTATGAGTATATAGTTGTAATATGCAAAAACATCGTTACTTAGGTTTTGAATAAGGATGTTTACAATGTATAAACAAATCTAATCATTAGCAATCGATTTAAATTTCAAACTACTTAAGAAGCCAGTTAAAATGTTGACATCATTGGCTATTAATACAAAAGAACTTTACAGATTAAACTGGAAATCCGCTCTTTGTCATCCGTTACCGCAACTTTCCAACGATTTGAAGACAAAGGCGGCGATGATTCATCGACGAGATCGTTAGGCCTAATATTCCACATGTGCTAACCATTTACATCAAAATTAGGGTTGGCAAAAATAAATACTGGAAAAAAAAAACTTTTTATGTCTATAGTGTAAATTCGTTTTTTGTTATATCGGTTAAGGTGACATTTAACAAATCAGCAATATTTTTCTTTTTGTTTATTTAGAATGACTGTACAAGAAATGGCATTTCCCATGCCATTTAAATGCTGCAAAGTTGGCAATACTCCTTTGTTTAGTGACAATTTAAAAAAATATAATTAATAAAATTATCGATAATTTTGGAAACCCTAAATATTGCCGTACAAAAACGATTCATCTTGTTCGCTATTCCTAGCGCCGGGCCTCCTGGTCAGTGTACTATGAGTTTTACAGCGAATAAGCGAGTACCTACATCGATTAATACGAAAACAATATCGATTTTATAACATTAATTTTTAGAAGAAAAAGCGATAAATTAATTAAAGTTGATTGTATTAGAGTTGCTTAAAAAAGAAAACATGTACAAAAAATCATGACTTCAAAAGTTGCTACTTAATATCGACCTCAAATGTCCTCCATTATCATTTAGAATAATAAAAATAAGACGTAGGCGAAACATTCTTTTGCCGAAACTGTATGAACGAAGACGGCGACCGAATGATATCAACATCCAATGTCAAGGTGAGATAATTATTGCATCGAATCGACCTCGATGCCTTTAGCCAAAATAAATAAAACAAATATAAGCATCAAAAATTTACTCATTGAGTATGTCACATAGCCACAATTATTTAGAAAAATATAGGATATTTCGTTTCAATCGTACAATATTACTAGAGAAACCGGTAATAGCTTTATCAAAAATGTGCAATTTGCCTATGGTGAAAATATTACAAATTTAAATTGTAACGAAAAATATATCTTGATTATAATAACAATCGGATAGTTCTAAATTAAAATACCTAAATAACAACGAAAAATACTTCTTCAGCTGCATTTCGAAAGTTTCTCAGTTGAATGCTCTTCGGATTGTGGGTTGACGTAATTCTTAAATTGGACTTGCATAGGGACCATAAAGTAAGCGATGACGTGATCCCGCTTATACGCCGCGGCTAGTTGTAGAGCTACGCGCGCCTCAGATATGGGACAAGTCTCCTTAGGCTCCGCACTCACGTATAACTCTCTTCTTAATCCTGGCGCTATAAGGAGCCTGGTCTTTGGGTAACAACACCAGTGTGCGCCGAGCCTTATCTCGTCATTCCATAGACCACAGCAATGGATGTAGATCAATCTTTCGCAAACGTTTATTAGGCTGAATGAAATATTAAGTAGCTAGCGTTACAAATAAATATTTGGTCTTTATAGAGAAGTAATGAGTATAATATAAAGGGTCTATATTTGCGGTTATCTTAAAATAAACTTACGTTAATTTCCCATTGATCGGAGTTTTATCTATTATAAGTTTCAATGTATCAGGAAACCAAATTAATGCTAAAGGATACTTTGGTACAGGTTGGATGGTCTCTTTGATTAATACCTGTTTACTTTTATCAGTCTTATTCCGCATTTCTGACAGAAAGTGTAATTCATCAAAGTTTATATGAACCTAGAAACAATATGTACACATATCATTATGTATTTATTATCCTCAATTTGTTTACTACCCATGGAAAAGGTTTTTAAAGTTGTTTGTTTAGAATTAAATCATTTATCCAAACTACAATCTATCCATGCATGTTCCTTTCAATCTTACTTTTTACTCCTATTAGGATGGAAGTTTGTTTAAAGATATCTCCAAAACCGCTATATGGATCTTGATGAAATTTGGCATAGATGTAGAACATAGTGTGGAAGAACACATAGGCTAATTAAGTTTTTAATACCTCGCGGACGGAATCGCCGGCAACAGCTAGCACATTTATAAAAAATACATACATTTTCGGGCCCCACTTTTTCGTGTGGATTATTGGATATAACAGGTGGGAGATAGTTTTCTTTATCGTCCTCAATGATTTGTGATAACGCTATCAT